GCAGGATGTGGCGAAGGGATGGTGATGGGAGGATGACGATGATGCCCTGGCAGCTTAGATGGTGTTTGGCACATGGCACAGACTCAGAGCATCCCAGTGCTGACAACACATGGCGGAATCGAGGGAGCGAGGAGCCAAGATGTAGATGGTGTGGCTGCCAACATCTGGGGGCCGACCGATGGAGACAGAGCTGGTAGTTCCGAAGGTGCAGATGGAGGGCTGATGGAGCTGAGCGTCGTCGCAGGTTCCGGAGACCTGGGCACAGCCTAGTCATCCTGACTCCTGGCATACAATATTTTGCACCAGAGCCTTGCAGCTTTAGAAAAAAACAAAACAGAAACCAAATTAAATAACAGATTTTTACATGAATGACTGAAAGCAAGCACAAATTAGCCAGCTGGAATGGACACATTGCTAACGTTTTTCTTCCTAGATTGACCAAATCACCCTCCATTAGGCCGTGAGGTGATACAACATGAAAATATACTTACTATTCCTTTGCTTGTCTCTGCACTCAGATTTCAGTTTGAATTCTATAGCAGCTGATCTGAAAAACAACAAATGTTAGTATTTCTCACACACAAAAGCAAATGATGATTGATGCAATCTGAGAGATTTATGTCCCTCTGATGAAAGAAGATTCACCAAAGATGTTCACGTTTCAAAAAGTTGAAATCGCAAAAAAACATTGCCAAAGTAATCCATATGAATTGCGTGGTTTCCTCCAAGTGCCCTAAAGAGACACGATCGGCGACCGCTCTATATAATACTGTTTCAATGTAGACTTATATTCACATTCCAGAGACATTTTTTGCATGCACATCATATTTTATATAGGAAGCTCTCTGGGATGAGCTCATTATCATACGAACCAATCAGAGCCGTTCAATGGCTCTGGAACCAATCAGGTTTAGTCAGTCTGTTGTTTGAATTTAAACGCAAGTTTTTTGTTTGTTTGTTTGTTTTGTTTTTTTCATATATGATGTTGAAATCCTTGTGGGAATTTAAGAAATATATATTAGAAAATAAAGACATCAAGCTTGAACAAATTTATAATCACCTAGCTTATTACAATTAATGTATCATGTAGAACAACAGCCTAATCAACCAAAGTAGCATAACCTTTTAAGTAAAATTGAACAACATATTAAACAACATTTTTAGAATATTGCAATGCTTAATAATAGTTGACAAACATTTGCTCATTGTAAATGTTACAAATGTTTTTCAAAATATTGTTTTCTGTAAATACACTAAAACGTCACTAAAAGTATGCTTGTGTTTAGTATATCCCTTAAAAGTGTAACTAAAAATATGTTTATTAACATAGTATTTCTACTATACTTTTTAGAAATATACTAATAGTGTGCTTGTGTTTTGGCATATTCCTTAAAAGTGTAACTAAGCATATATTTATTACCAAAGTATTTCTAGTAACTTTCTATAAATACATGAAAAGTATGCTTCTGTTTAGCATATTTCTTAGAAGTATAACTAAGCATATATTTAATACAAAAGTACTTCTAGTATACTTTTTAGAAATATATTAAAATGCAATTCAATATATTTTTATTACACTTCAAATAAGCATGTTGGGAATACAAATGTATTATAAACATACTACTTGAATTTCAAGTATATTTTTAATACATTTAATACTACGGCTTTTTCCACCTGTGAAAGCAAATGTAAAAATTTTGATTAAAGATTACCAAGACAAGTATTTTTTTTCCTGTGGATTAACTTGGAATTTTTGTCTGCCTCAAGACTAGCAATGTGCACTAAAAAGTCAATACTTTCAAATCTGAATTCATGCAAACTTTAAAATTGGCAACAAAATCTGACCTGAACTGTCACACAAATGTATTTTTATGCTCAGATAGCATATTTTCAGGTTGAACCAGCCAGTCGTGCATGTCCCAGGACACTGGCTGTTTCTATAACCTGAGCTTCTAACAGCAGCTGCAGTGACACTACCAATTGGCGATTGGTTCTTTCATTTAAAAGTTTGGACTTATTCCGCCATATTGTGTGTTGCACTTTTTCTCATTTATAGCAACATGAGTGCACCATCTTGGTCTATCGAAAGGCTTTGGTAGTACAGTCTGTCGTAGATTTCTCACCGGTTATACTGTACAATCCGGCAAGCAGCAATTGTAAAGGACAGAAAAATCATATAGTGTGCATCAGCCCTAAATGAAAGCTGTTTTTTGTTGAAGATTCAAATAAGACGTAGACTATGTAGACTGTGTGGACTAGTTAGCTAAAATCATACAATAAAAATGAAAATGTTTTCTAATTTCTAACTTCGGTCCCACATACCACTTATCCACTCTACTTGCGTCAAAAAACAAGTACAATGTACTTACTGTGTTCATGTTGTACTGCAAAATACTTTTGCTGCTTTTGAGGTGGGATACAGGTAAGGTTAGGGACAGGTTTGGTGGTATGGGTAGGTTTAATGGTGGGTTAAGGCGTAAGGGATGGGTCAACAGTCTAACTATAAATGTAATTACAGGAATTAATTACAGGTGTAGTTACATGCAGGTATTCTTAAAATAAAAGCACAATGTAAAAACATAATTTAATAATTTATGCATTTAGCAGACACTTTTACCCAAAGCGACTAACAGTGCATTCAGGCTATACATTTTTTACCAGTATGTGTGTTTCCTGGGAATTGAACCCATGACCTTTTGCGCCGGGAACGCAATGCTCTACCACTGAGCCACAGGAACAAAAACATGTATGCACACAATAAGTGCATTGTACCAAATGATTCATAAATGTATGTACATAGTAGTTAAAGTCACTTAATATAAAGTGTGACCCTTTCTAACTAAATTCATAATTCAGAGGCCAATATTGAAAAAAAAAACAAGGTTGGAAAAAAGGTTGAAGGCTTTTCTGTTAATTTTGCAAAACTGAACCCAATAATCATTATCAATCGAAATTTTAATAGCACTTCTGTACTAAATTGCAGGTTGTAACAAACAATCTGATGAAGTGAGTAAAGCTTACTTAAAACAAACTGCCTTTTATGCCTTGTATGCTTTTGTCACTCCATGGAATGACACACACATGCACATAAAGAATCATGTGAGTGCACCATATGATGTTATATTCATCACATGCATTCATATTTCATCCATGTTGTGCACAGAATCAGCAAAGCAGAAAAAACCTTCTCAAGATGTCATCATTATATTTCAACCCCTTAGATTTATTATTACGAGTATAGTATGTGTTTCTGAAAACTTTGGCAACAATTCTGTAGTAGAGATACCTGTCACATTATGCAATGAAACACCCAGACCAAATGTCAAAAAGTGCATGGAATTCATACGAAATACTCTGTGTCACTGATGACTCTAGAATGAGTGTCGAATTCGCTGTG